CAAAAAAGCGACGGACAAACCACGTGTCCGTCGCTTTTCTGCATATTTTTGACAGTAGCAGCTCGCAGCTTCTGCTGCCACCCTGCAAATGCAATTCAATTCAATTCTACAACTGTTCAGCCCAATCAAACACACACAATTATAAACAATCTAAACAAAACATAAAACAACAAACTTAAAATAACATTCAAAAGTATCTAAATCATAAATTAAAGACTTATAAAGTCTTTTAAAATTCGTTTTTAAAATTTCAAAAAGTTCATAAATGTCCAGAGATCTAAACTAGGGAGTGAGATCTACATAATCATCCTCATCACTCTCGTCGTCGGTGTCATCGGGAGCCGAAGTAGTAGGTCGACGAGCGGGTTCCATCACTTGTTCTTTGATTTGCTGAACGGTCTCACTCATGCTTTGTTGTTCAGCTACTCTTTTCCGCTCCGACTCTGCTAGTGCCGCTGTAAGTTTAGTTATTGATCGATAGCAGTAATCTGAACACCGTCAAGTGCCTCAACTTGACGTGACGATCCAATACCTTCTAAGCCTGACTGAAGGCGTCTAACATCGTTGCGAGGCCTAACCATAGCATCTACCCTTGTGTGTCCCCCTACCACTTTTTCTTTCCAAATCTGAGTGGACAGTTTGGTCATTGAACCGAACTATCTAGATTCTCAGCGACTGTCTATGAAAGTCATTTTGCATATTAATATAAATATTGACATCAATATATATACATATCATAAATAATTATTCACTATGATATATATTATCATATTAAATAACTTACAAAAGTTTGTTCGGCCTTTCCTCCACCCACACATCCGGATCCGACTCATTTTTTCTTCCTGACATGAGTCTTTTTGAAAACCTCTGGTTCAATGGGAGTGCGTCCCAATTCTTTTTCCTATAAATAAAAACTGAAATTTATAACGATATATAGTATCAACTAATTATTTATAAAAGTTGAATTAGAACTTACCATCTTCGTGCAATTGTTCCAATCCCATTTTGCACCTCGGTGTGCAATGAGCCACCTTTAAGACTTGCTCTAGCCATTTTGGCTTTCTGATTTGCTTAACTTGTCTGTGTTCCAATTGTACCATCGACTACATCCAAATGAATAGCTAGACATTAAAATGAAAATGTACCTCGACTAGTAACATAGTCTGAAAAAATTGAATAACGTTAATTAAATCGATAGTAAAAAAAAGTAAAGTATACTAAACTTAACTAAAAAATATATACCTTAAAGTTATTAAACATCGCCTGGCGTATACTGTTTGGAATCTCGCTCCAAGAGTGATAAGCTTGTGTATAGAGTTTTAACACACTCTTTTAAAGCCCGGGCAATCCTTTGCAGGATGCCACCTGCAAAACACATAATAAATATGTTAGTTCATGAATAATATATTAAAGTATAAGAAATAAATAAAATAAAGTAACAAATAGATAACAAAACAAACTTACGATGATCCATCCGGCTCAATCATGACTCTACCAAGTCTGTCCTTCTGGCCAGGAGCTAGAGCAGACATCGTATCATGTGGTGTAGCACTAGGTGCAGCTGTAGACGAGGGTGATACATCAGGATGCACAAAACGCTGAGTCAATGGAGGCGTACCGGCCATAGCATCTGACTGCTCGCTACTAGAATCTCCAAGCCTCATGGCAGATAACTGAGGAGATGTACCTGTGGGAGATGGAGTACCTGCCGATAAGGGTCGTGCTCGACGAATAGCCTGTAAAGGTAGGTCCTCGTAGCGTCGTGAAGGCAATGCCTGTGAAGTAGATGAAGCACCGACTGGTCGACGATAATTAGGATAATATTGCCGAGGATCCGCCGTACCAAACGGAACAGCAAATAAATGAGTATCATGGCTGATGCGCTCTGGCGCAGAAGAAATAGATCCTGCAATATCCTCAGGATCTATCGGTCTCCTAGACTTCTTCTTCTTAGCCTATTTAGTCTGGCTAACTCCAAGATGCTCGCAATGTCTATCACCGTCACCGCCTGATGACATCTGTATGCAAATTTACATGTATATAAAAATCATAAATTAAATAAAATTAGTAAAATACACTTACATATGTACTAGCTAGCTTTCATTCTACACTATTCCTCCTCGCTTGTTCAATTCCATCATTCTCCCATTCTTCTTCCTCAGTTGTTTCATTTTCATTATCGTCCCATTCTTCGTCATCAAATGATTCATTTTCCTCATTCTTAGATATTTCTTCCTCAACATTCAATATCTCATCATTAAATACTTCTTCTAATATGTGTTGATGATGTCGTAGTGTGGTTTCCAATTCAACATCAACTTGTTGTTGAACAATTGCACATCATTTTGATACGCCACATCTAAGACATTGTCAATTTCAATTCTTCCCACAGGCTTACTTTTTATAACAACCATCAATCAGCTTTGTCTATACGCAATGGATATGAAGCGTAATACACTTGTTTAGCATGTTGTGCAATAATAAAAGGATCATAACTTCTGTATTTCCTGGTGTGCTTAACTTTAATTATATTATGTTGATGGTCCACCTTTGTGCCTCTATGTGATGGGTCAACCACTCACACCGAAACAATACAATCTTCTTATTAGGCCAACCTGAATACCTCACTTCAATAATCTCTTGAATGACACCATAATATTCAATAGTTTGACCAGTACCATCACATCACCTTGTATATGGACACCGCTATTATTTGTTTTCTTGTTCCTAGATACTTCTTCAGTTTGAAACTTAAAACTATTGACACAATACTTATTCATTTGCCAATACTTGAGATTCAGGTCCAAGGGCTACTTCTTTCACTAATTGCAAATGTTGGATACTTGAGTATTCATCGTAAACCTACGCGATTGTTATTTCAAGTAATATAATTTAGTATAACATGAATATATTATTAAATACTTAGTGATTGCACACTTACATAGTTCCTCAGCCATTTGTAAATTTCTGTATAGATGGCTTCATTACCCCATGTGTTTACGAACAAGCTGATCATTTTACATTGAAGTATTTCGTTAGTTAATGATCACTTATTAGTATGTAATTTAATAACATATTTTTAACACTTACTTGACATATGATTGAATCTCTGGACAATTAAGCAAATATGTGTTACAGCTGATTGCATTTTCATATCAGTGAAGCCCTCGCTTTCTACGCTTTTTAGATCCTCGACCATTTTGATTAAAATTGATATCGGTGGAAATAAAGGATCAATATCGCCTTCATCATTGCGATTGGGCCTGTTTCTCCTACATGACACATCATGACCAAAGTAATAAGAATAAAAAATCACATGTTTCTCTCCCAATATGACCTTGAACAAATGATCCTTCGATCCTTCCCCTTTGCTTAATCGTTTGCTTCGAACTACCAATTTTTCTGCATGCATATATGTATATATATGTTAATATACAAAAGACTTGGTGAATATATATAACTTAGTGAATATTTCAAATGGATACCTCTCAAATGGATACATCCATCTTGTTTGAACCGAACCTCCGAGGCGGGCCTCTTGTACAAGGTGAATTGGAAGATGCTCCATCACATCAAAAAAACCACATGGAAATATCTTCTCCAACTTAGTAGTAGTGACAAGAATATTTTCCTCCATCCTATCTAAACTACTCTCCAACAACTTTCCAGAACACAAATCTTTTAAAAAAGACTTATCTCTGTGATTGGTTTCCATATCCTTTCGGGTAGATGGCTAAAAGCGATAGGAATTAAAGTTTCCATGAACATGACAATCATGAGTTTTCATACCTATCAATTTTCCTTCATTCATATCTGCCCACTTTCCTAAATTCGAAGCATAGCCCTCTGGCATCCTCAAATTTTTTAACCCACTCAATAATTTCATGTTTCTCATCCAATGTGAATGAAAAGCTGGCCTTGGGCTTAACTATTTTACCATTCTGTACTTCCTGCAGCCATAACTCTTTTCTCCTACAATATTCCTTTATGTCCATTCTAGCTTTTGGATTGTCTTTTGTCTTACCCTTAACATCCATCACTGTGTTAAACAAATTGTCAAAGTAATTTTTTTCAATGTGCATCACATCTAGATTATGTCGTAGCAGATTGTCCTTCCAATACGGCAACTCCCAAAATATGCTTTGTTTGGTCCAATTATGTTCAACACCATATCCAGGAAGTCTAGAAGGTGAAGCTTCTGTAACTTTAGGTAATTGAGAAATTCTCTCCCAAATTTGATGCCCTGTGAGTATGGAGGTGGGGGGTCACTTTCAACCTTATTTTTCCTAAATGTATTTTTCATCTTTCTAAACTCATGGTCCATTGGCAAAAACTGGCGATGACAATCAAACCATGTATTTTTTCTGCCATGCTTTAAAGTGAATGTCTTACTATTTTCCATGCAATACGGACATGCTAGCTTTCCAACTGTCATCCAACCAGACAACATCCCGTATGCAAGAAAATCATAATAGTCCACATTAAAGAAGCACGCATGATAAAATTCTACTTAGTTGATATATCATAAGTCAAAACGCCTTCAAACCACAATTGTTTGAGCTCATCTATCAATGGTTGTAGATAGACATCAATCAAACTTTTTGGATTCCGGGGACCTGGAATAACACAACTTAGAAAGATGTAGGGACTGGTCATGCACATTCAGGAGGAAGATTATACGGAGTAAGAAATACGGCCAACATGAATAAGGGGAAGCATTATTAGAGAATGGTGTGAAGCCCATCTGAACACAACCCCAATCTAACATTTCTTGGTTCACTAGCAAAATCAGGATATACATTATCAAAATGCTTCTATGCTTCACCATAAGATGGATGAGACAAGACACCCAACGGCCTTCTATATTCACGATGCCATCTCATATGTGGGGCAGACCTCATCGATGCATACAACCTCTTTAACCTAGGAATGAGAGGTAGATAATGCATCGCCTGAACTGGGACCATCTTTCCAGCCGGAGTCCTCTTATAACGAGTATGTCCACAAACTTACAATTTTCTAATTCACTATCAGTCTTGTAAAACAACATGCATCCATTAACACAACAATGAATTCTATCATACGTCAATCCTAACTTGGACACCAAACGCTTTGCCAAATAGAAGTTCTTTGGTATGTTAAACTCTAGATTAACTAGTTCACCCAAAAGATCAACCATTGAGTCCATAGCAGCATTAGGAAAATTTCAATCTAATTTAATATTCATTAATCTAACCGCAACTGACAAGGCAGAAGACTCCCTTCACATAGTGGATGATTAGACTCTTCTAATAGATCATAAAAGTGTCTTGCTTCTTCATTAGGAGCTTCATCAAAATATTGTTCCGGTTCCATCCCACCTTGAACCCCGAAAGCATCATTGATCATTTTCATGAACCCTATCATGTTCAACCCTATCATGTTCAACTCTAACTTGTTCAACCCTAGTTTGGGCCATGTGGTGCAACCATAGTATATACA